AGGGGTAGACAAAAGCAGGTTGAGGCAAAAGAAGCTGACATGACGCACTGCGTATAGACAGGCCGCCTTCTGCGGCCGTTCACTGAGTACCTGAGCGGGCAACTTCTCTTCGCCCCGGCCACGGCACGAGACGAAATGGCGGCGGACCAACGACGGCTAGTTATCTGCACGCTACATGAAACGCCCCGAATGTATTACCTTCCAGGACGGACGGTGCGGCATCAATCCAGGTTGGACTGCAGCGCCGACGGCGAACGCCTGTTGCTGAGCGGGCCAGGTGGAGAGGAGTGCCAGAATGGACGAGGCCCGCCCGCTTCGAGACCACTTGCACGGAAGGCCTCATTAGGCTCCTGCTGGTCAGGACAGGGCGGGAGGCCAAAACGGTTACGCCTGCCACGAGGCCCCCGATCAGTCTGAGGCAACACAGGCTGGTATGCCGCATTGCGCTTTGGCAAACAACCTGCCGCGGCCATTCGGTGAATCATTATACCTGTGTGGGCAAGTCATCTCTCCCCTTGCCACGGCACGAAACGAAACAGCGGCATACAACGGCGGCCATCTGCGCACCAACGGAGGTGGCGAGCTCGCATGCCCTCAGCAGCTCGAGCGGTGCGGCACCGGTCCTGCCGGACCGCAGCCCCGACGGTGGTTGTCCTGCTGCTGGCTCGGCCAGGCCAGGGCAAGAGGCTCCCCAAAAAAGCTGCGCCACAGCGGGCCGACCCGACCATAAACACCGCCAGGTTCGCTCCACATTGCCCAGGGACCGAAGACGCCTGGAGGCCGCTCTTGCTCGATTCTGTCGGATCGCGATGGCTGGAAAGGCCACCGATTGGTCAGGAAGTCACCCGCACACGATGACCAATGAAGAGCTTTTGAGATTTATGAGGCTTTCGATTCCGTCCCTGGAGTTACGTATTCGGCGTGTTCGTTTAGTTCAGAGTTGGGCCCGACGGCCTCTTCACCACCTTCAGGTTCTATGTGCACTGTTCGGGGAACTTCCTAATGAACAAATGGGGCCTCTTGATGACTCGGGAGGTTTAAGTTCGTCTGCATGCCCCTGGGCCTTCCAGCTGCGTGCCGATCTTCAGAGCATGGCTCAGGAGCTGGACCAGGAAGTTTGTGACGAAGTCGCTCGGGACTTCAGGCTGCTGCTCGACGAGGCGACTGCCTCATTCCTTGCAGGTGTTGATGTCTCTGCGTACAGATCGAGACAGTACACCGTGGAGATCGCGCCCGCAGACTTTGTATCGGCGCCACATGTGCCCCGCGAACTGGAAGAAGAGACTCCTCCCGCCCCTCTACCTTGGAAATGCTGGCTCCCCTCTGAGGATAACCCCGCTGAGGCTTGTATGGCATCGTTCAGTAACCGCAGGGACCTCATGAATCACCTCAGGGGAACCCATGGGCTAAGAAATGTATGTTATCTCGTTACGCCGACTAACATATGTGTTCACTGCAGGCAAATATTCGCATGCAAAGCTAACGCTGCTAAACATGTAATGGGATCTATGTTCCGTGGGCACTGTCAAACTGTGGGCCCCTCGGCCCTGAAAGAGTTGATCCCCGTGACCTCCTTCCAGTGCCCCGTTTGCGAGTTCGACGGCTCGAGCTTCAACGATTTCTGTGAACACTTGTGTACACACCTCCCTTTTCGGCCGCTCCCATACGTGGTTGATGTCCGAGAACGTGCAGCCGCAGCTGCCCGTGGAGCCTCTCTCGTGGTTCAGTGGCACGACGGTCCAGACCGCTGGCGTGAAGCGCCCAGGAGAAGGAGCCGAGGGGGGCCAGCCGTCACGCAGGCGCGCCGGCAGAGAGAAAGGAGCAGGCGTGTCGAAGGCCAACGACAGGTTGACACTCTCCTTGGCCCGCGAGGTCGCGGATCTCAAGAGCGCCCTGTACCTCAGGTACGAGATGCCCGACGCGTCGGCGGGCGTGGCGGCAGCAGGCAAAGCGGCGGGGGTGAAGTACAACAATCAGAGCGCCGAGATAAAGAAGCTCGAGAAGGAAGGCCACTCCGTCGACCACAAGCTTCGAGGGCCCCCGCACGTGCACGTGGCGATGGCATGCATCTTGCACGGGTGCAGCAAGCAGTTCGCGGAGGGCGCTCCACCAGACCACGTGAAGTTGCGAGACGAGATGAAGGAGTTCTACACCAACGAGATCTTCACCAAAGGGATAACGGCGCAGAAGCTGGGCAGGGTAATCCCGCATTTCAGGGTGCAGGTGCTCAAGGCGACCGACGGCGAGAAACCCAAGGCCATCATCTCCTGCCACTTCCACCGCGACATCAACATCGGTCTCGTTCTCTCTCGCCAACTCGAGGCTCTGATTCGAGGGTGGGGTCTACCTGGCAGGTGCGGCCCCGCGCGGGCCCTTGGAGAGGAAGCTAGCGGAGGAGGTCGGACCGAGGGAGAAGCAGCAGGTAGCCCCAGTAGATTTGACACATACATTGAGTTAGAAATCGCTGACGAATCTAGGGAGGCGGATGGCCAGCTTGGGTCGCCAGCTGCCCCTCCACTTCTCACCGAGCCTCTCCAGGGTATAACCAGCCAGCAGGCCCCACAGGGGGCCATACGTTCCTATTTTGTTTCTTCTTCTAGGACCAGGGAGGTCTTTCTGGGAGCGAACGGTTTCGTGATCTCGTGGCCCGTGGTAGTATTGAGCCAGCGGTACTTAATCGTCCCGCCCTGAGCACTTATGCCGCAGCGCCCCTCCCAGGTCCTCTCCCTATCACTCCGATAATATATGCCCCTAGAGCTAAGAAGGGCTCCAAAGGCAAGGGGGGGGGTCGGAGGTCGGGTGGTGGGCTTGGGTGAGGGCCCCCGTGCCTTTGGAGCCTGCCTCCCTGGGGCTGCGCGCCCACTCTGGGGAGTGCAGGACGGCCAGTGCCGCTTCTAAGCGGAGTGCGCTGGCTGTATTGCGATGTCTGGGGGGTGCAGAAGCTACCCGAGTCAAAGTCCTCTATCTCTGTATGTAAGCCTGACACAGCGTGTTGTAGCAGTGGGACAGGGATGACGGCAGGACTCCACGAGCTATTCATTCATTCATTCCCCTCCTCCTCCATCGACTCCTCCTCCTCCCTCCCTCCACCTACTCCTCCATCTCCTTCTCCTCCTCCTCCTACTCCTCCTCCTCCTCCTCCTCCTCAGGTCGCCTATGGCCCCGGGGGAAACCGCGCACGCTGAGCGCTGCCAGGCCCGCTGCTAGACACCACTCACCGTGCACAGCGCCAGACTGCATCACATGGCGAGGCGCTGCACGCTGGGGCGCCCGCTAGGCTGGGGAGACAAGTGGAAGGGGGGGAGCGCGGGTCAGTCTGGGCGGCCAGCGTTGCCTGCAACATTCTACGATGTTTGAAGAGAGCAAGGCAGGCGGTAACACGCCCAGTCCTTTTGCGCCGCTCGCATGGGCCCTTCCCCCACGGGCGGAGCCTGCAACGCGCATTGCGCACAGACAGACAACCTGCTGAGTACCTGAGCGGGCGAGTTATCCTCCACCAATCCGCCGCACGAGGCGAGACGACGGCGAGCCAACGGCGGCGATCCGAACGCTAAAGGAGGCAGGGAACGACATCACCTTGCAGAGCCAACGGTGCGATGCCAATCCTGCTGGGACGCTGCGCTGACGGCGCCCGCTTGCTGCTGGCCAGGCCAGGGCGGGGCGGGAGGCAATGATTGGGCAGGTCGCGGCACGAGACCACTTGCAGCGCAGGCCTTCCTGGGCCCCTGCCCAGGCACGCGGATGCCCTCCACCTCCGTGCGGCTCGGGTGGTTCGATGTTGCCCGTGCGGCCCGATGAAACGGGAGTTTGCGCTGCTGGGATCGCAGAAGGTTCTCATCGCGCACAGGTGCATTGAGGACAGGGGCTGTTCAGGGCTGGGCAGGGAGCCAACATGGGCTCATCGCGCTTAATCTAATGCGCACCGCCAGGCCGTCTCTACAGAGCAGTGGATGCTGGAAAACGCTCGCCACCAGCCCCGCGGGCAAGCCAACCTGGCGGGGAGGACATGGCCCTCCGTGTCTGCATCAGCGCACGAGGTGCTGTGCGCAGAGAGGCACGGCGTGCGCGGAGATCCTTTCTTGACCTGGCGGGAGCGGGTAGCTCGGAATAGCACCACTAGGGCATCGCACGCGCGGCGCGCTGCCGGGTGCACCATTCGCCCCAGCCGTGCTCACGTGGGCCCCTGGCAGGCGCACAACAGCGAGGCAGACGGCGGGCTGGCGGCCGCTGACGAGCTGCTGATTCTGGCGGGGATGAGCCCTCGGTATGGCACAAAGGGGGGCCTCGCACGCGCGGTGCGCTTTCGGGTGCACCACACAGTTGGGGCCCATGCCAAGAAACACCCTTCTTGCCTCTAGGGCACACTGGGTGTCTTGGGTATCGATGGTTTTGCCATGGGAAGCATGACGTTTCCACACTAAAATCCGATGGACGTCCCGAGGTCTCAGAGTTGGGTTTCTTGTGGAAGGTTTCCTGTGGTCGGGCCTCTTCTTCAAGGGACGGCCCTGGGCGTTTACTAAACAGCCCTGCCCTGTTTGATTCTTTGGGTGCGCTTACTAAACGGCTTCGCGTGTCTGGGTGGTTATTGTCTTGCTGGGTTTTCTGCCCTCTAGTCGGGCCCCTACTGTAAGCCCCCGCTGGGCTCGCGTCGGCCCCTGGAGAGAGAACACTGGGAGCCATGGCGAGGCATGCGGCAGGCTGGCGGCTGCCGGTGAGCTGCGGAACCCGGCGGGGCTGCGCGACTCGGGGTAGCCACAGGGGAAGTCTCGCACGCGCGATGCGCTTGCGTGTGCACCATTGGCCCTGGCTGGGCTCACGTGGGCCTCTGGCACGACCTGTCCTCCTGCGTCCTGAGTAGAGGTCCTTCGGACTCTTCTGGGCACCTCCTGACTGGCGGTCCCCGCAGATCTCTCAGGCAGGCATCGCCGATCAAGGTGCGTTTCTGTAGAGCGTTCGATTCTGGGCAGTTGGTCCGGCACGGCACCGGCAGGTGGTGGCAGTAGGACAGCGGTCGAGGACGTCGGTATCGCTGATTCTGCCGCCAGTAACTCGTATCTGGAATTTGCCTGCAACGTCGACCTTGCCTTATCCGTAGCATGCTCAGTCAAGGGTCCTTCTGCTCGAATAGTAGGGACCAGTGCTGAACGTTGTCCAATCGCCACTGCGTAGGCTCTGCCTCCGCTGGTAGGTGCGAAGGGCGGATCTGAAACAGGATCTGCTGGACGCGCCCCTGGGATTGTCGACGTCGGCACCGAAAGCCCCATAGCAGGATCGCCCAGTAGTACGTGCAAGCATCGGGGGGACGGGGAGTCGGGAGCGAGATGGCCCACCTCGTGGCTCTCGTTGCGAAACGTTCAGCGGGCGAAGAGCGGTATAGAACACACTCTTCCACCGTCGAGGACGCCTGCCTCCCGGGGGGCTGGAACGCTTCGATCCCTACGTGGCACCAGGGTATAGTCTTTGGCAGCCGCCCGGGGGCAGGCGTCCCCGACGGCGGAACAGTGTATGGCATACCGCTCTTCGCGCCCGAAAAAGTGGCCAGGCATACCGCAGGGGTTTAAACTTTGGCAGCCGCCCGGGGGGGCAGGCGTCCCCGACGGCGGAACAGTGCAGTATGGCATATCGCCCTTCGCCCCAGAAAAAGGTAGCCAGGCATGCATGACACAGTCCGTTGGGCGCCGCCCATGCCTTGGCGTGCACAGCCTCTCTTAGCTTGTGCGCACCCGCCTCGGGCTGCTCATGCCGCGGGCAGCGGGTGCGGCGCACTTCGCGGAGTTCAGTCGGGCATGTCCCTCTGCAGGAGGAATATATATATATATATATATATATATATATATATATTCAAAAATAGCCCAGGGATAGCATATGGCGACACTGTTTCGACGTTTCCTGACTGTGTTTGAATAATTCGTTGGCGATGTTTCCCGGGTCGCTCGAGCGCCGCCTGCAGGAGGACGCGCCCGGCCAAACCGCGGGGGCCTCGGAGGCCTCGAGCGCCCCCCGAGGCGCGATGGGCGCGACGAGGGGGAGGTGCCTCGGGAGGGGGGAGGAGGAGCGGCCCCGGGCCCAGCGTGGAGGGCAGCGCGCCCCCCCCCCTCGCCCGCGCTCGTGCCTTGTGCGGCTCGGGAGCGACGGCGCGGCATCTGCTGTTTCTCCTCCTCCTCCTCCTCCTCGTGTTTCTCTTCCTCCTCCTCCTCCTCCTCCTCCTCCTCCTCCTCCTCCTTCCTCCCGTTCCCTCCTGCTCCGTCCTGCTCCTTCCTCCTTTTCCTCCTCCATCCTCCCCCCCCCCCCCTTCCAGTTCGAGTCGCGCGGCCAAGATGAGGCCAAGGACAGCCCAAGCACCTCGAGGGGGGGGGGGGCGGGAGACTGGAAGGGCCCGGGAGGCCAAGGGGGGGGGCGAGGACATCCGAAGCGCTCCCCAAGAGAGACGGGAGGAGTGAAGGGCCCCGGGGCCCAGGATCGGGCGCTTCGTTCCGGGGGGGCGCTGAAGCAGTGGGGGTTCGAGGGCTGCAGGAGAGGGGCCCGGCAGGGGCCTCCTGGGGCCCCCGGACGTTGGGCGAAATGTCGACAGGTCTTCTCCCCACTGTTTCTTGTCCCCACGACGCTTATGCCGGGCCCGTCCCGCTACAGAAGGATTTTCAAACATAGTCAAACAACAATCCGGGTGCGATGTTTCGACTATTGTGTTGTATGTTTGATTATCTGTTTGAGTATTTTCTGTTCCGTCCAAAATATTTGTATGTTTGGTTACCCGTTTGAGTATTTTCTATTTCGTCCAACATCCGCTTGTTGGAGGACGTGCCCGAACATTGCGCAACGCCCGAACAAAAACATCCCGACCACCGATGGGAAGGCGGCAGGAGGTGCGACGAGGTGGAGGACGGACGAGCCGCTTGCCTTGCAACCATCTGCATTTCCACAGATTGTTGGAGGTCCGCAGGGATTCCTCGGACCAGCGCCAGGGTCCCCATGCGCCAGGGAGGGAGGTGCAGCGCCGATCCAAGCAGTCCGCGTGGACCTCCTGGCGTTTATGTCCATGCCGTCGTCTCCCTCCTCCAGGGGTGGGGAGGGAGGCGAGAGGAGGAGCGAGGAGTAGGAACGAGGGGGAGCGAGCTAGAAGGAGCAACACGCGGAGGAAGCACGAGGAGGAGGGAGGGAGGAGGGAGGAGGGAGGATGCAGCAGGGAGGAGGGAAGGGTGGGAAGGAGGGAGGGGGAGGGAGAAGCCCAGCCCTCCGACGTCAACGTCGATTCCCAGAGTTCCAGTCGGACATGTCCCTCTACAGGAGGAATCTTCAAAAATAGTCAGAAAGTAGTCGGGGGACGATTATTTTACCAGTTGCCACTATTTTCTAAGACTTTTTACGTTTTAGGTTTCGTCCAAAACCTGCCTGTAGGGGAACATGCCCGACCTAACCCCAGAGGTCTGGACCCCTTCCCGTGGACCGGCTTTTCCTTCCGAGTCGTTTTTTGGTGGTCTCGCGAGGCCCAGGAAGGGCCCCCCCGAGGCCGAAAGAATGGCGGTAAAAGCCTCCCGCCGTGATTTCTGCACACTCCGAGGGGTCCCTGGGAGGAGGGAGGCGCGGCGAGGCGGAGGGACGTAGCCCCCCGTAGTTCTGAGCGAACGGGCGGCGCCCGAGCGTCACAGGGCTGCCTGTTGTTGCTTCAGTCGCAGGGTGCGCCACTGCAGACGACACCCCCTGCCCCGCGTAGATCCGAGCAGACCGGCGGCGCCCGAGCGTCGCGGGGCTGCTCCGCACGGTGCCTCCTGCAGAGGGGCGCCCCGAGGGAGCCGCGCCGCGCGGGGGCCCACGGGCGCCGCAGGCTCAAGGCGGCGCCGGGGAGGGAGACGGACTCGTACGGCGCGCTGGACTTCGCCTTCTACTGCATGGAGCACGGCAGGCGCGCCGTGCGCCTCTCCCGCGGGGGGCAGCGGCGCGCGGCGGGCCCCCCCCTCGAGGAGGGAGGAGCTGTCGTACGGCTTCGGGCTGTGCCTCATCCTCCTCCCTCCTCCTCCTGCTCCTCCTGCTCCTCCTCCTCCTCCTCCTCCTCCCTCCTCCTCCTCCTCCTCCTCCTCCTCCTCCTGCTCCTGCTCCTCCCTGCTCCTGCTCCTCCTCCTCCCTCCTCCTCCTCCTCCTCCTCCCTCCTCCTCCTGCTCCTGCTCCTCCTCCTCCTCCTCCTCCTGCTCCTGCTCCTCCTCCTCCTCCTCCTCCTCCTCCTTCTCCTCCTCCTCCTCCTCCTCCTCCTCCTCCTCCTCCCCCTCCTCCCCCCGTCGGGTGTCGAAATCTGCACGCGGGGGGCGCTGCAAAAAGGGCTTCACCTGCGAGGACACAAGGAGTGGCCATCGCTTCCGCAGCGGAAGGCGGCGGAAGTAAAGTGAGGCCGCCTGCGCCAGGGGAAGCCGGCGGAAGGCAGCGGAAGCAAAAGATGCGCCCCCCAAGAGATGAAAGCGTGTTTGGGGTTCATGGCCGCCGGAACCCGCCACACATCCACTGGTCCCTGGCCGGGCCTTTCCCGGGCGCAGGAGCTGCGTATACGCCCTCCAGGCCCAGCCAGGAGGGCGTGGCGTACACACCGGTTCTTGGTTCAGGAGGGGCCTGGCCAGGGAGCAGTGGATATCTGTAGATTTCGCCGCCCTGCCCTGGGTAGTTCCCGCTGGCCTCAATAGCCCCCCCCGGGTAGTCCCGGGGTTGAGGTGTCGAGGCCGCCCCGGACTCTTCGGGGGGCTTGTTGAGGCCAGCTGGGAATGCTAGGGAGGCTGGTTGAGGCAAGCAGAGGTTACCCGGGGGGGCGCTTGTGCGCAACCCAAAGCCAGACCAAAGTGGTCGTGGGATGATGTCTTGTCGCGCCGCGTTGACGATCACGCTGGTGGTGGATAATCCATGGCACTGTTGTTCCATGAACCGGGGGTCGGCTGTCCGATGGGTGTTGCTCAGTGTTTCGGCCCTATGATGCATTAAAGGTCGTGGTTTCCTCGTTCTTCTCCGGATGCCTTATACGGGGTGCTCTGTGGTTGGTGGTCATGACGGTGTGAATGTTGCGAGGTTATCGTTTCTTTGTAGTGATGCACATCGAGAGATTGGAAGTTACTTTTCAGGGTCCATGCAGGCAGTCGGCAGACCCCAGATCTGCGAGCGGGGTGTTGCCGCCAGTGGCCCGGAGCCAGCCGAGCTCGAACGATTTGCACTAGGAAATCTGCGGTCGCTCAAGGCTGAACCATCCACACGGTGTCAGAAACCAACGCCTACGCCAACCTGCTGCACAGTACGAAGTCAACGAACGAAGAAACCGGCCTGTCATACGGGTCAGGAATTTTGGATTAGCGTGTCGCTCCGCCGGTTTTGGTCCACTACGCGTCGGCGCGACACGCTATCCACGTCCCCATTCCCAAGCGTCAAAGTCCAGAGTTTTTCCCAGCTTCCCGCCCCGCGGAGCGGAGCGACGCGCTGTCCTCTCGCTGAACGTGTCGCTGGGGGCCGCCGCCACAGCACGCTCAGCAGAAGCTCCCCAGCGCAAGGTGCAATACTGAAGTGTGAGTGCGCGTGTGTATGTGTACTTGCTCGACATCGTCACTGTGCCCTGGCAGCGCCCGTGGGTGCGCCCTCGCCCTGGCCCGGCTGCTGCCGCGGTCGCCGCTGCCACAGCAGGGCGCCCCGGCCCGCTCGGCGCGGAAGTCTTCCACGTCTGAGTGCTCCTCTTTCTCGGGCGAAGAGCACTGTGCACATGCACCGATCCTGGCAAGGCCCATCCTTGACCCAGGATAGGTGCATAGGCCTTCCTGGCCAAGGCAGGAGGGCGTATGCACCGATCATGGGCTCAGGATGGGTCTGGCCAGAATCGGTGCATGTGCATAGTTCTCTTTCCTCTATCTTTCCCCCGTCCTCTGCGCGGCCGCCCTGGTCCTTGTTCCCTATCTTGCATGCCGGCCAATCAGCGACTCGACTGCCCCGAGTTGCCACACGCTGGAGCCGACCGCCCCTCCCGCGCCGCTGACGGAAAAAAGAGTGTGTGTGTGTGTGTGTGTGTGAATGTGTGTGTGTGTGTCCGCTTGTGTGTGTGTGAATGTGTGTCCGTTTGTGTGTGTGTCTGTGTGTGTGTGTGTGTCTGTCTGTGTCTGTGTGTCTGTGTGCCTGTCTCTGTGTGTTCGGCCGCCCGCGACCGCCAAAAAGTGCGTGTGGGTATGTGTTTGTATTTGTGTGTGCTTGTGCGTGTGCGTGTGCGTGTGTGTGTGTGTGCTTGTGCGCTTGTGTGTGTGTGTATTTTGCGTGCTTGTGTGTGATTGTGTGTGTGTGTGTTTGCGTGTGTGTGTGTGTGTGTGTCCCACGGGCCCCAGGGACCCACACGTCTTGAAGTATCGCAGTAGGGTTGAATGTCCAGCTGCCCGCGGCAAGTCCCGCCACCGTGCCAGTCTAGCATGCTAGATGGCGCCTTGGGGTCTCTTGGGGGCTCCTTTGGCCGTCTGAGGGCGCTCTTGTACCGCATGGGCGCTTTCACAGGCCATCTTGGGGGGCTCTTTGTGTCGTCTTGGGGCTCTCTTGGGGACCTTGAGGGCCGTCTGTGCGCATTCCTGGGCCCACTTGGGGTCCTCTTGGGCCGCTCGAGTGGCATCTGAGCACCCGTTTGGGTCGTCTTGGGGCCCAGAAGGGTGCCCTCTTGGGCCGTCTTGCGGTCATCTTGGAGGCTTTCTGGGTTGTCCTGAGCCGGCGAAAGCTCGAAACAGCGAGACCGACCTTCGGAAAATCCATGTTTTTGGCCCCTTCGAGCTTTGCTGGAGGCTCTGTTGGAGCCCTTTTGGGCCGTCTTGGAGGCCTCTTGGGCTGTCTGAGGCCGTCATGGAGGCTTCTTGTACCATCTCGACGGCCTCGATCGCTTTCCTGGGCCGTCCAAGAAGACTTCGGGGGCCCCAAGGAAGCGCCATGGCCGCCCAGGATCCTTCGGGAGGAAGGGCGCCACTCTGCGACGAGAGGGGCTGGGTGTCCGCATTACATGTCATTCTTCCACGCCTCAGCGTGCCAGGAGGCACGGTGGCGGATGGACAGCGAGCGTGGCCCAGGGCACGTCTTACAGCAGCATCTCTCCTCGTGTGCACCTGCTGCAGACGCCCTCGGCACCGGCAGGGTCCAGATCTACGAGGCGGGGGAGATGAAGTACACCCACCGGGGCAAGTACTCCGAAGACTCCGTGCTGGACTGCCGCCACTGGGCGGGCGGGGGCGCCCGATGCCCTCCAGCGCTGGGGCCCCCCCTCCCTGGCGCGCGGAGCGCGCCAGGGGCGGCGACTGAGGCGCCGCTGGGGGGGCCCGTGCGCGGATATCCAGAGCCTCTTCAAACTTTTAGATTCAGGCAAGTTTACTTGCATGGCGTTCACCGCCCCCCCCGCCCCCCCCTCCTCGCCCCTCTTCCAACGAATACTAGCTCGCAAGTGCCTTTCGACCTGCGTGATCTCTGCACGTCAAGTCGTTTGCGGCTTGCTTCAGGTTAAGGCCCCCCTCGCACGTGCAAGTACACTTGCCGGAGTCTAAAAGAGCAGGCTCCCAGCACACCCGCGCGGACCTCTGAACGTCTGTGCCTGTGCCGTGGGGTGCTCCTCTGCCCTCCGCCTCCAGCTACGGAGCGGAAGAGGGACGCACGCGCGCACAATTCCACGCGGGTGTCGAGAGCACGCCCTGCGCGAACCTCCGCATCACGAGGCCGGTCTCGCGGACCCCGGGGGTCGTCCTCGGTGCGCGTTGGTCGGGCGCGTGCGTCCTCTGCGGGCTCCCTGCCGGCGGCGCCGTCGACGGGCCGCGGCGCCCGGCGGCGGAGAGCGGCCGCGGAGCGCAGGCCGCGCGGACCTCTGGAGGTCCGTGTTGGTGCCGGCTGTGGGTCCTCTGCTGCCCGCCTCTGCGAGGCGAGAAGAGCAGGCACGGACACAAAGGCGTCGTGGGTGGGAAAGTGCAGTTTTCGGCACTCCCTCCCTTCCCGTCTTGCCTCGCGGTTTGGCCGCGACGAAGAAGCAGGAGCTGTGTCGGGCCATGTCTCTTCTCAGTCTTTCTTCCCCGTCTCGCTCCCTCCCTCTTTCTCTCCCTCTCTCTCCATTCGCCTTGAGCGGTGCGCAGTTGCAGTAGCAGCAGTAGTTCCAGTTCGGCGCTTTGGATTTTGTTGTGGACAAGGATTCGTCGATCGCCTGGACCAGAATCATGGAGAAGCACGGAACCTGGATAGGGGTGGACAAACGCCAGCAGAGATAGGCGCAGACACAAAGAGAGTCGTCGATCGCCCAGACCAGAATCAGGGAAAAGCAGGGGACCTAGACAATCAGGGGCGGACGAGACACCAGCAGAGCTGGGAAATACTGTCATGTTCGAACGTTTGTGGCTGTTTTCTATTCGTGCGTCCCTGAGCCTGGATTTTGTCTAGACTCCCGCAAGTTTACTTGCATGGACGGGGGCGGGCCTGAAACTGAAGCAAGCCGCAAACGACTTGCACGTGCGGGCACCGCGCACAGGTCGTAAGGCACCTGCACGCCAGTGTTCGCTTGAAGAGGGACGAGCAGTGGGGGTGTGTGGGGGGCGAACGCCATACATACAAGCAAACGTGCCCGGTTTTTGTTTAAAAAAAGACTAAAAGAAGGTCCCTGGACCCCCGTGCACTCTGGCGGCGCCGTCGTCGGCCAGCGGCCGGCGACGGTTAGGCGGCCGGTGCTCTCGGTTTAAGTCGGGCATGTCCGAGGGATATCCAAAAATAGTAGAAGAATAATATGGGGGACGATTTTTCTATTGTTTTACTGATGAGTTTTTTCAGAGCGTGAATTACCTACCCCGCTTTCGCTTCCAGGCAAAACCAAACCATACCACGCGCATCCTCGTCAAGCGGCCTGACCAGTACAGGCTGCAATTTGGCATCGTTTGGTATCTCTTGGAAGCGAGGGTGGTCAAAAGCGGGGTAGGTTCGTTTTCCCTGTATTTTTGATGCTCAAAACATTGTCCAAAATCCGCCCGTCGGAGGACATGCCCGGCCTAACGCTCGGTGCCCGCGCCCCGCCCGCCCGCGCTCGGTCTGCACGGCGGCGCGCGTGCGCGGAGGCGGCGGCTTTTTCGGGGTGGGCGCGCCGGGCCTGCCGCAGGGCCGAGGGCTCTCCCCGGGCGTCTGCCCCCTGGGGAGATTTGCCGGTCTTGTTTTGTATTGGGTTTTTGTTGCGCCCCCCCAAAAATATCAAGCGATGACAGAAACACAAGAACGATGACATCAGCGGTGACATGCCATCGTTTGCTCCCCTTTTTTCCCCCAGCAAAGAAAGGGGCCCTCCCCGGGCTTCGGCCCCTTGGGAGACTATGTGTTTTGCAAAAAAAAAGGAGCGAACGATGGCATACACAAAGCAACGATGACATAAACAGCAACATCTGATGACATAAACATCAAAACGATGAAACAGAAGGGAGCAAACGATGGCACAAACATCACAACTCCGAGGTCCGCGCAGATTTCTCGGATCGGCGCTGGAGCCCCCTGGCGGCGCCTCTGGCGCCGCCTCTGGCGCGCTCCGCGCGCAAGCGAGGGGGGCCCGAAGAAATCGACACAGACCTTCGAGTTCCCATGTTCATGTTATTGCTTGTTCCCCTGAACGTTTCCTCTGTCGCGGATGGTGACGACAGCACGACCCAACCCTACACCCCCAGCCAGGACCCACATTCCCAGCACCTGGTAATCCAGGGGGTCCTTGCTGGGGGCGGGGGTGGTTTCCGGGGTTTCTTGGGGGCCAAGAGACTACCCTGCACTCCCAGCCAGGACCCCCTGGACCACATGGTCGAAAGTGAGGTGCCCCGGGCAACGGTAGCGATCGTGCGGGGGAGGGGTGGTTGAACCCCCCCCCCACATGCTGGTGCTCGCGCGCAGTGGCGATCGCAGCGCATCCCCGCCCCGACGTGCCCAACCCTCTCAAGCGTTTCCGTTACCCGGGACCCCAGACCCCCCCGCCCGGGTAACGATTGTTACGGGGAATCATAATGTTAGCTAGCGTGGGCCCAAAACAGTGATGATTTGAGATATCCGCGGTACAACCGATAGGTGGTGCCATCAATGTGGTGCAATCAATGAGGTACAGTCAATCACTTGCTCAATTTGAAGTTGTCCTCTCCACTGCTCCTGCAAACATCCCACCCTCCCACCCGCAACTTGGTCGCAAGACTTCTTAAGACCGTGACGGTGGGTACCACATGGCACTTGGCAACGACACCGAAGCCGACGATGACAGCGACACCGACCACGACGACGACGCCGCCGACAACGACTCCGACGACACCGACGACGTCTCCAACGGCTTCGACGCCGACGACAGCGACGACGACGGCGACGACAACACCGACGACGACGACGACGGCGACGACGACGCCGACGCTGACGACGATGACGACGATGACAACGCCGACGACGACGACGACGCCGCCGACGACGACGACGACGCCGACGACGACGACGACGACGGCGACGACGAAGACGACGACGACGACGACGTCGCCAACGAAGACGATGACGACGACGAGGGAGGAGGGAGGACGACGACGGCGACGACGACAACGACGAGGGAGGAGGGAAGACGACGACGACGACGACGACGGCGACGAAATAGGAGGGACAATGACGAAACGCCGACGAAGACAACGAGGGAGGAAGGACGACCACGGCGACAACGACGACGGAAACGACGACGACGCCAAGACGACGACGACGAGGAAAGACAGAGGACGACGACGGCGACGACGACGACACAAGAGCGCACGCGCACGCTTTTGTTGAAAATCCGTGTTGCGAAACCTTGTGCTTTTGTATGTTGTTGTGACACACGATTTTGAAATCCTTCCGAAGCCGACGGCTTTCGAAGGATTTCGGCATGCGCGCGCGACGACGCGCGCGTCTGCACTTCGTCCTGTTTGTTGCAGACGGTTCTCGCGACGGCACGCGCGCAAGGGCGTTCGAAAGATTTTGACATGCGCGCGCGCGAAGCCCGTGTGGTAATATGTTTTGAATATATATATATATATATATAAGATGGTTCCCTTGAGATTTCGCAAGAGCGCGCGCGTAAACGTTCTTAGAACATCAGTGTTGCGACACCATGTGCTTTTGCATGATTTTGGATTCTCGATTTTGAAATCCTTCCGAAACCCAAGGTTCTTGAAGGATTTCGGCATGCGCGCGCGACGACGCGCGCGTGTGCACTTCGTCCCGTTTTTGTTGCAAGGGATGTTTGAAACATGCAAGGTGTTTTAATAAACGAGAGTGTGCGCATAGTTTTTTGCAGAGGATGGCGGGGGGCACTGATGCCGGCTTGGCTGGGATAGTAGGAATTCATATTTAGGATGGACGAGTGTGCAGAATCACATGCACATTGCCACACGAAAAAGGTGTACCGTTAACTCCGGGGGGGTAGAGTCGATTCTTCTTCTAGCAAGGAGAATCCATGTGGCGCAACCTATGTGGCGCAATGCGTTTCAAGGTAATGCGAAGCAATGCAAAGCAACGCAACGCAAAGCACAGTGAAGCAATGCAGAGCACTGCCACGCGATGCTAATCAATGCAAAGCTGCGCAGCGCAAATCAATTCGAAACAAAGCAAACCATTGCAAACTAGCCTGGCGAAGGACCCAACCATATGCAGTTGAGAGTGCTGCAGTTGTGAATACAGTCATCGGTGGAGCTCTGTATGGGGCTACGAAACGTGTGAGGAATGCCCCGAAATTGGTGGCGCGGACACATGTTGACACCGCCACTGGGGCCTTCGGTGGAGCTCCCTATGGGGCCACGAAACGCGTGAGGGGTGAGCCGAAATGGGTGGCTCGGTCGCATGTGGACACCGTCGTGGGGGCCTTCGGTGGAGCTCCCTGTGGGGCCACGAAACCTGCGAGGGGTGTGCCGACATGGATGGCGCAGACGCATGTGGACACCGCCACTGGGGCGCTCCCTGCGGGGCCACGAAACATGTGAGGGGTGCGCCGAATTGGGTGGCGCGCATGTGGACACCGCCACTGGGGCCTTTGGTGGAGCTCCTTGCGGGGCCACGAAACGTGTGAGGGGTGCGCCGAAATGGATGGCGCGGACGCATGTGGACACCGCCATTGGGGCCTTCGGTGGAGCTCCCTTTGGGGCGACGAAACGTGTGAGGGGTGAGCCGAAATGGGTGGCGCGGACGCATGTGGACACCGCCATTGGGGCATTCGGTGGAGCTCCTATGGGGTCACGACACGCGTGAGGGGTGTGAAGGCAGAGGCAAGGAGGGGGGGAGGGAGGAGGAAGGAGGAGGGGGAGGAGGAGAGGAGGAGGAAAGGAGAGGAACGCGGGGCACCGTCTCTTGAACATGAGGACCCAACACCACAGGACGGTTGGGAATAAGGCAATACGATACGATGCTATGAACAGCAATGCAAGGCAATGCAAAGCAACACACAGCAATGCAAAGATACGCGGCGACCGGCGGCGACGAGCTGGCCAGACCGACACCGGGGGCCCAGTTACAAGCGCAAGCATTGTTTGAGGAAAGCCAGCCACGCGCAGAGAGGGGTAGAGGGAGGGGGAAAGGCTTCTTGGAAGCACCCCTGTTTTTGAGAAAACGTGGGCATTGTCTATAGATACCGATGTAAGGCCAGCGCATTCGAAGAAGCAGCCTCCTTCTAAGACGCCCTTCCCCCTCCCCCAAACTCCCGTGCGCGCGCCGTCACGACAGAACGAAATCTGGGGGTTGGGGGTCCGGAGCGCTCTGAGAAGGCCGCGGCGCCCGAGACGGTCGCCAGAGTCGCTGGATCTCAGAGACGCTCGATGTATCCTCGCCCGATTTTACCCGCGTCCTGGCTTCGTCTTGGGAGGGCTCTCTTTCGGACCCCAGATCGTGTGCGGAACCACCGAACTCAGCGCAACCCCAGCGCAACCAGCTTGGCAAAATTGGGCCGCAGAGGCCTTCCTGGGCGGGAGCACGACGACGGCGCGCTTGTGGAATTTGGTCGCTCCAGGTTGCTCTGCGCGACGCCGCGCTGCTCTGCAGCCGGACCGAGGTACAATCGGGCAAACGTAAGACTCAAGTAAGCCAGAACTCGGTTTTGCCTACGTTTTTTTTACGAGCGCGTCCTGGAATTTGACGGTCCCGTTTTCGTAGGATGTTTGCAGCGGGAGTTCGCGTCAAATTTCAGATTGGGTCTCGTCATGTTCATGATGGCCCCGTCAGGCCAACCTGAGTCCCCCGTACCCTAGTCTTACGTCTCCCCGATACAAGATCGAGGTCGGCTCGGGGAGGGTATCCTGAATTGTTTCGTGTTTGTTGGATGTTCTGTGGATGTTCTTCTGGCCTAGGTCCGACTCTACGCTCCGCCACGCTGCTCTACGCGCCGCCTCGCTGCTTCGCCACGCTGCCCCGAAAGAAGGGGGTCAGGATGGGTGGGCCAGCTTTTCGATCAGGAGAGGGAAGAACAACATGTACACACTCAATCGCCGATCCCGAGGAAAGTATGGAAAAATGTTGGAAAAGAGGGGGGGGAAGACGAACACCCAGAACATGTAGGAGAAGATGGGGAATCCTGAGACCTGTGCGTGTAAATCTGTGTGTCCCTCGGCCCCTTTGGGAGGGGCGGGCCTTCGAGCCTCGCGGCGGCGAGCTGGGGGCGGGGCCGAGGGCGGGATAAAATACGCAGGGCACAGGCCAGCGGGCCCTCGTGGCGGCGTGGTGTCGCTGCCCTCCGGGGCGCTCCGCTGGAGTCGTCCCCGGGACTCCAACGCACTGAAGACGTCAGTGCTCCTGTGGAGGATCGACTACAGAATCGATTTACCCCCCAAATTGGGTTGTTGGTCGACTCTCCGAGAAGACGTAGGATGCTGCGTAGATCTGCAGAGCCTTCTACGACGCATTTCCCGTAGATGCGACGGAAAACTCAGGTTTGGGGTAAATCAGTTCTGCGGTCGATCCCCTACTCGAAGTGCGCGATGTCTCTTTCGTTTGTCGCTTTCGGCCTCGTGGAGGCCCTCACCGGGCCCGGGCACCGTCGAGCACGACCCAGGATGCGCAGTCGGTCCTACACGGGCGCGGGGCACCCTGGCATCCGCGCAGTGGCTTGCTGGGGGATCCCGGATCCCGAGGTCCGCGCGGAGCGAGGGCCCGACCCTGGTAGGGGGGCCCAGATGAGTGTCTGGCATGCCGTGCGAGAAGGCATCGTGCCGATGGCGCCTGCAGCTCAGCGCCACAGTCCGCGCGGAGCGAGGACCTGACCCTGGAGGGGGTCCTGCTCCTCCTCCTCCTCCTCCGCCTCCTCCTCTTCGCCTCCTCCCCCTCCTCCCCCTCCCCCCTCCTCCTCCTCCCTCCTCCTCCTCCTCCCTCCCTCCCTCCCTCCCTCCTCCCTCCCTCCCTCCTCCTCCTCCTCCTCCTCCTCCTTCCTCCTCCTTCTCCTCCTCCTCCTCCTCCTCCTCCTCCTCCTCCTCCTCCTCCTCCTCCTCCTCCCTCCTCCTCTTGCGAGCTCCTCGCTCGAGCGCAGCGGGCCACGCGCGGCCCCGAGAGGGCGGCCCGCCGCGGCCCCGAGAGGTGCCCGCGCACGCGCGCGCCCGCCCAGCCCGCGGCGTGACGGGCGACGGGCGCGACCCGTAATTACTCCTCTGGGGGCCGCGCCGCTGAAACGGCGGCGCGGCCTCCGCTGAGGCCAAGCCTTCCTTCCTTGCTCCCTCCCGCCCTCCTTCTCCTCCTTCCTCCTCCTCCCTCCCTCCCTCCCTCCCTCCCTCCCTCCCTCCTCCTCCTCCTCCTCCTCCTCCTCCTCCTTCTCCTCCTCCGCCTCCAGATGAGAGTCCGACACCCTGTGCGAGAAGACAGCGTGCTGATGGCGCCCGGCGGGCAGCCCATAGCACCAGAGGGAGGCCGCAGTCCCGCCGCCGCCGCCCCGGGAGTGCCAGACGGTCGTCCTCCCCGAGCGCGTCGGGAAGCTTGGCCCCAGTGGCGACGGAGCGCGCCTCGGCCCCACCTGGGGCGGATTCGCAGAAGCGGCCTGGCCAATCCAATCCGCCGCCCGTTGCCCCCTGAGCACGGGTGTCGGCGCCAGCTTCCGTGAGGGCACGGCTTGCCCGCGAGTTGCCGGCGAGGGCCAGTCTTGCCACCCGTGCATGTCGGGCACGTGTGCGGCGCAGTTGGGCCCCCCTTCTGCGCAAGCTGGTGGTCGGCCAGCAGGGCGTCACAGGCGTCCACAGGGGGCGGCACATCGCGAAGACATCGGTCAAAGAGGGGTGTTCGAGGAACAAACAAAACATAAACGTTACCGTTCGGAGGTCCGCGCGGAATTCTCGCATCAGCGCTGGAGGCGCCGCATGGGGGGCTCCGGCGCCGATCCAAGAACTCCGCGCGGACCTCAGCGAGTTTGCGCTTGTGTCGTGTGCTGTTCCTCTAGGTGTGCTCCTCCGCCTCCTCCTCCTCCTCCTCCTCCTGCTCCTCCTCCTCCTCCTCCTCCTTCTCCTCCCCCTCCTCCTCCGAATGGCCGGCAAAAGGGGCACGAAGCCCGCAGGCGGGTGGGAGGGGTCCTGAGGCGAAAAGATGGATTTCGGGCTTCGGGCTGCATTGAGGTCAGCGCCCGCGTGCCTACGAATCTGGGCTCAGGTTGAGGAGGAGGAGGAGGAGGAGGAGGACGAGGGGGAGGGACAGGAGGGCGGAGGATGCGCATAACCACCCCTGGACCTCACACCCGCAGGAGATACACCTTCGAGCCCATCCACACAGTGTGGAGTATCTGATTGACCGCGACGTGGTGTATAAGAGCTTGACCACGCCCGCGGATTCCCTGCACTTCCAGATATGTTTCGGAGGGGGGAGGGACTACGCAAACAATAATAATAATAATAATAGATAACACATGTATATGCACATGTGTGCGTATGCTTATGCATACCTACCCGCCTGCCTGTCTACCTACCGACCGACCTACCTACCTACCCACCTACCTGCCTACCCACCTACCTACGTGCATGTATGCATACCTACAGTTATGTATACACACGTATACATGCATACATACAGACATACATACATGCGTGAATGCGTGCATGCACACATACAAGCATACATAGTCACACCGATGCATCCACATACGCATACACACCTACCTACCTACATACATTCATACGGGCATGCACGCGTACATACATACACACATACATATATACAGATCCTCTTACCTATCTACCTGCATACATGCATCCATCCATACATACATACATACATATACATACATACATACATTCATACATCCATACGTGCACACATACATGCATGCGTGCATGCAGACATACACATGCATACATATCCGCACCTGCACACATGCATACATACGTGTATACATACATACACACTACATACATATATTCATGCATGCATACATGCATGCATACGTGTATACATACACACGTACATACATACATACACATACACACGTGCATGCGTACATGCATGCCTACACGCATGCATACACGTACACAATGCATACACACGTGCATGCATGCATACATACGTATACCCATACATGTATTCATACATTTATACATGCGTGCAGACATGAATGCATATACATATACACACATATATATATATATGTATATACACATGCATGTACACATATACTTACACACAACCATGTATCCGTGCATGCCAACATGTACACAGGCAAACGCACATGCATACACACATGCATACGTAGTCGCGTACGTGTGCACTCATACACTCACGCAGTTACTGTCCTACATACGCGCATCTGCACACAAAAGTACATACACAAATACAGCAATGCATACACATGTACATACACACATACATACAAACATACATACACACATACATACATACACACGCAATCATGCATACATACACACAAACATACTTACATACGTAGATACATAGATGCCTGCATGTTTGCATACATACATTCATACATACATACATCAGTTCATGCATCATCAATACGTACATACATGCATACCTGCATACATGGGTACTCCATATCGCATAATACAGTCCCGACCACGTGCGGCCGCGAGGATCAGGAGTAGGAGGAGGCAGGCGAGGACGAGGGTTGGAAAAGCGATCAGGGAGGAGGGAGGAGGCTGTGGAGGAGAGGCAGGAGGGGAAGCAGCGGGACGAGCACGAGAGGGATGAGCGCGAGGGGAGGAGGAGAGAGTAGAGGTGGGAGGGGGGAGGAGGAAGGACCTCATTGGGCCGTCTGGAGGCTCTCGTTCGGCTCTCTCGTGCCCCGCTGAAGCACCCCTGCACCACGAGAAGCGAAATTCATTCGAGATCAATCGCTGTTTCACTCATGTGGGGGCCTTCCGTGTGGCCTCTCGCGCGTTTGTCGGGGCCTCTCGAGGTCTCTTGAGCCGTCGCAGCCTGAGGCCCTCCTGGGTCATCGTGGCGTCCTCTTTGGCCGTAATGGGCACGTCGTGGGAGGCTCGGGGCCCCCCGCTCATCAGACCCTCGTGCGGCCTTCCTCCCCAAATCGCGAACATGCCCCCTGGGGGGGATGATGGGCGGAGAAGCAGCCAGACATCTCCCACGCGGCGAATTCCTCTCGCTGTTCTCCCTTCTCCTTCTATGGTCGCTCCTGCTGTCTGTGACGGAGGTTTGCGCCATTCCGCCGACACCGGCCGAGGATATGCCCGGCGTCTGATTTCTGATGCGTTGCTTGCCGCTTCTCGTTGTGCTGCCTGGGAGCTTTCTCTACGCTCCTCGGAGCTTTCGGGGGCCTCTTGTCTTGGGGGCACGTCGGGGGTCTTGGGGCAATCTTGGATGGGGGGGGGAGAGGGGCCCTTATGTTAAGTCGGGTCTGTCCCTCTTCAGGAGGAATATTCAAAAATATAAAAAATAGTCAGGGGACGATTTTTCTATTTGTTCTTTTTTTACCATTTTGTTGAATGTTTTTTCGTCCAAAATCCACCTGTAGGATGGCATGCCCGACCTAACCCTTGTGTGATCTCCCCCTTGGCTGTCTCTGGGCCCCCTTTGGCTGTTCCTGTGCCCTCTTGGAGGCCTCTTGGGCCGTGATGGGCTGGTCTGGGAGGGGGGCTGGCGGACCGTTTGTGGTGGCTTACAGGAGCCACGAAAGGCGAGAGCGCGAAACTACGAAACAACATTCGGCGAAAAACTAACGCTTGCCTGTTGAGACTCTCTGGAGGGTCTTGGGGCCGCCTTGAGGTGTCTTGGGAGCCTCGTGGGCCATGTGGAGGCCATCGTGGGTGGTCTTGAGGCCGTTCGGGCGTGCCGGCGCTCTTCTTGAGCGTCTTGGAAAGCATTTCGGGCGTCTTGGAGGCCACTGTTAGTGGATTTCGAGGCTCCGAGGGCCCTAGAGGTGCTCTGACGAGCTCGTCCCCCAAACGAGGTTTTGGATATTGTACTCCCGGCAAGCGGTGGTCCGCGGATTTCTCTTCATCCATCTCTCCTCTTCATCCCCTCTCCATTTCCAACCTCCAGCCCACTCCATCCTCCTCATCCGTTCTCCAATTATTTCGGTCTCCCAGTACGTACCCTCTTCTTTTTCCCTCTCCCTCCCCTTACCCCATTCACCGAGTCCTGTTCTCTTTCTACTCATGTCTCCCCATGGTTCCTTATTCATGTTTCTGCTCCTTCCTATCCCTCCTGGTATGACGTTAGTGCAGTATCGTTGCCATTACCAGACAGTGCTTGCACTTAGGGCTTCTTACTTGGCCTGAAGGACTTGGAACTGGGTGTTGGTTCGGTCGGCTTGTTGTCGCCGTCGCCGCCCCGTCTCCGCCTCGTCGCCGCCCGTTGCATGGGCCTGGGCGTCGGTTCGGCCGGCTTGGCTTGTTGTCGCCGTCGCCGCCCCCCGCCGTTGCTCCGAGCGTGCTTCATACAGAGTGCACGACACAGCTTGCACCGCATAGCTTGTTTGACATAGATTCCACC